GAATCAGCTGCTCAAACTGTTGGGGGGTGTGACAGGGCTGTGACCAACCGAGAGGGAAAAGAAACCTGCCTTAGGGGACAAAGAAATTAAAGTGCTAAGTACAACATGGATTTGCCAGAAAACAACTTCCTCACCAAGAGCAGACTGTCTCTCTGCAGGACTGTGCTCTGCATTCAGCACTGTAAACACCAGCAAGCAGCCTCATCATTTATGTCCTGCTTCAGCTCACTTCAGCTGCCTCAGTCTTGGACCGCCATGTGAGAAATGGGTGTTTCCTCATATGGAAAAAAGGTATATAAAGCAACATTTGAATGAGGTAGAAATATCATGGGGATTTGGATGGTGGGCTCTGTAAAGGGGCATCTCACAAATGCATCACATAACATGGGTAATACTAGGGCCTAAAAAAAAATTACAGCTGTAGAAATTTATTAATCCAGCCTTAAAATGGGTCATAAATGCTACAGAACAATCCTTGTTGATCTTAGTGATACACACATGAAGCAAAACCAACAAACCCTCCACCTTCACCTAGTACTGAAGGGAGATGTGTACAAATCCTCAGCATTTGTTCAGGCTTTTTTGGCTGAAAGTACCAGAGACAACAGCCCCAAATGTACAAAATTAACAGGGGATTCTTTATACTCAGTATAATTTTGTGTATGTAACAGGGGAATACAGTACGATATTGGCTCCCTTATGACTATGAGAAAGACTTTGTCTCCAATGGCATAACTTGTTCTAGTACATTTTTCCTCCAAATACTAGCTGGTAAGAAAAGCTTCCTTCATATACTTAGGCTACTGATACTGAAACTAGGTTAGACTTGGATGGTTTCTGTTCCCACTGCTTCCAGACAGTAAATTTCAAGTCTTACTAGAAAAGCATCATTTTTATATATGGCTTTTTTTAGACATTGTCAAAGATGAACAACTTCTTTAATAAACAACTTCATAAAAAAACCCAAACCCGACAGATTTTAAAGTTCTTTTACACACCATGCCCATCACTACTCCAGGCTCTCAGCCTCCCCTTGTGTTCCTTCCACAGGAGGATTCAAACCTCCCCAGACTCACTCTTGCAAAAGCACATCTTCCTTCCACGTGTGCTAGTCTGCCATGGAGAGGTGCATGAAACGTGGAATAAATCACACCTCGCAACTGGCGAGCTCTGACAGTCCCTGACAGCCATGCTGCTGCAATGCAGTTCATGTCAGGTGCCCTTGGATCTCTGCTCAGAGCTGCCAGATGGGGAAGAACATGAGTAATGAGAGGTGCTCCTCCGCGCCCAGGCAGAACCATAGAAGGATGTGTTGTGTGGGAACTGATCTGAAACCCCCTCTCGTGCACCGCAAAAAGTCCAGTCCATCGCGCACTTACCTCCGGACGAGGCGGTGGCTGGTCAGCTCTGCTGGGTCCGGAGCTGGTGGCTGCAGGAGGCCTGGCTGGCTCTTCCTTGCCTTGGGCCACGCGGTTGCACTGCAGGGCGATGCCAGGCAGTGGGTGGGCCAGGGGCCACCGTTGCCCTCTGGACGGTGCGTGTGGGGTGTGCTTACCCGCCTGGACAGAGTGCTCCTGCCCGTGGCCACCGCAGCTGCATCAGTCTGCATCTTCCTGGTAGCCCTGGGCTTGCAGCGACCCAGTGAAGCTGCTCTCTGCTAATTTAACTGTGGCCATGGACCACTGAGTACTGATACTAAAGCACAGGGAGAACCTTAATCAACTCTTGCAAAGTGCTTTGAAATCTTTTACTGCACGAGGACAGAGAGACTAAGGGGACAGAAATCAGCTCCTTTGCAAGCCATGTCAAATGTTTTTAGCACCCTCCAGTACAACAGGAAACAGAGTGAATCGTTTCTGCTTATGAATTGTTACCATCCAGCATCATGCCTCCGGCTGCTGAAGAAACTGGTTTAACTGGTTTTTATATGAAAAGAGGTAGATAGACACAAATACACACACATATATAAAAAGCACACACACACACACATAATCTAACAGGCAAAGAGAGAATCTGTATCTGCATTTGTGATATCTTCCTGCACCAGGTGAGGAAAGCATCTTTTTTCCTTTTAACTGGATGCTGTACATACATTGTTTCCTTGCAGTCTATCTTTAGGTTATAGCAGTTCACAAGGTTTTTTCAGCAGATGTGTTATTCAATTACTTCAGGGCTTTTCCATTTGTAATATTATGAAGCAATGATAGCCAGCAGACTTCACCTGTCTTTTAGAGATAGCCAGCCTGGTAATTTTAACTCTGCCCATTTTATCCACACCAGTAAATCTCATAACATGGTTATAGAGAGATTCCAATTTTTGTAGAACCTTCTCCAGGGAATTCCTGTATACAATATTGCCATAGTCTGTAATGGACATAACCTGTGATTGGATTAATGTTTCCCTAGTGAAGAAGTCAAAGCATTTCATGTTCCTATAACTGGTTTGCAGCTCTGCAGTAAAGGTCTTTGGTGTGGCAGAGAAAATAATTGCAAACGCAGCCCCAATCAGAATATATAATCCCCTCACAGCGAGGGTTCAATTCAGCGCAGTTAGACTGCCTGCGCAGGGGGTTGTAGCGGGATTTTCTTGTCAGGAGAGCAGAATGAACAGAAAACAAGTTAATTTTGGCATTTTAATATTCATCACCCAGTCCTGTACAAAGGGAGGTAAATACATTGCTACTGCTCTGAGGGGGGTCCCTCCAGCTCCCCAGGCAGAGGGTGGAAACAGGCAGGGCAATGCAACAGGGCTCTGGTCTCCCCATAAGATCCCTCCACTTGTGCTCAGATAAACACATGCCTTTGTTCTCTCAAATTAGATGCCCAGTTTTGGACCCATATTGGTTTCTGAACCTTTCAAACTTCCTGGCGTCACCTTACCTTGGACCTGGCACAAGTGACTAATAAAGAATTACTGTTGAGTGTACAACGTGCGTTACTTACGTCTGAGACATAGCTCATCTTCCCCGGGAAGAGGCTCATGGCAGGCCAGAAGTAGGCTCTGAAGCAGGATCTGCTTGCTCAGGTGGAGAACTTCAGCAGCCATGTGGGAGGAAATCGAACCAAACTAGAGACTGGGAGCAAAAGGTCTCATATTTTCAGCTCCCATGATAGTGTCCCCAAGAATTTGTGAAATGGTGTGCCCACATCACGCACCCTCTGCCACGCCACAGTGTAAAGTCCTCAACACGCAAGCTGGCAAAGACAGTGAAAGGCTCAGACTGCCATCCCCAGCTGGTTAGGGAAAGCTTTCAAGAAAAACGGTTTACTGGTGACCCCCAAAAGCAGAGGTGGGTCTCTGTAGAAAGCACTATAGAGTCAACTCTTGCCTATAGGGTTCAGAGGGTAGGCGTGGCTGTGGCTGGACCAGAAGGTGCCAGAGTCAAACTGAGACAGGAGTGAAATGGAAGGCAAGAGCAAAGAGTTTGATCAGGATGTGCCGGAACAAGGATGGGTTCCAGAACAGGCATGCTGCCCGACTGAGGAGCAAGGCAGATGCTGTTGGCAGATAACCTTATGTTTGGATGTTATGGTATGGCTAGGCAGGTGGAGAGGATGGGAAGAAGGTTACCAGCATGGGCACTGACAAATGGGATGTCATCATTTCCCATATGGGTAACTACCTTCAATCTGTCCTTTCTATCCAACTAAAAAGCTTGGAATAACTCAGCAGAAAGGAAGCATCTCTGGCAGAGGTGAGTGGTCTACATTGGTCTAAACAAAGACCTGGAACCTGCAGGCTGTGGGGCAGATATGGGTGGCAGGAGACACGTATGAAGCGGAGACAGGAAGATGCAGTTATTACATCTAAACTTAAAAGACCAACTTTTACAACTCAGATAGCGGGAGCATCTGAAAACTGGTATCAGGGCAACACAAGGGCTTCCCAGAACCCACTTGTCCATGTCTTGGTTTTGAAGACTCTGAGAGCATATGAGGAGGAAGGACTGAAAATGAAACAACACACTCATTCCACAGCTGCTTTTATCACTTTATTCATATTTCTAGAGTAGACTCTATAGCAGCTAAGCAAACACCTGAAACTCTCATATTTTATATCTCTCTCTATATAATCATTGAAAAATAAATGATGAGGAATTCTGCAAGTGTTTTTCCAATGAATATGCAGAAGGAACATTATCACCCCAGTAAACCAACTTTGAAAGTCTTCCACTAAAACCCTATAAAACCCAACGATAGTCATAAATTAGTGCTAGATTAATTCAAAGGAGAACTTATCCCCCCTCTGCGTACCTTCTAATCCATATCTCCAAGAGGTCATTTTAATTATCACACTGTCACTGCTATTCATTACTCTGCTTTTGGAACAGAGAGCCAGCACTGGGCTTTTTGGATGCCTTGGAATTCATCATATGAAGGCATTTTATTCTCCCCCAGAATGTGCACAATTTAACTCCCTCACCTTGAAATACTGACAATATCAGGTTTTCTTGGTGCTTTAAATAATTTTCCTTCCAGTGGGACATTTTTTTTTTTTTTTCCAGCTAAGTTCCCCCTCTCAGAGTGAAACTAACTAAGATAAGCTCAGCTAATGGGTGGCTAATGCACAGACACGATCAGCTCAAATTTTGTCAGATCCTGAGTAGCTTGCCCTTTTCAGAGGCATGCAGAGCCAAACTTTTGTCCCAATTTGTATCTGCTCACTCTTTCTGGTTTCAGTAATGCTAACTGGATGGAAACCATGTGTTGGTGGCTCCCAGGAGGTATGTTGTGATGGGGCTCCAGGACGTGGGGAGGTTCTGAGACACAGAAAGCAGACCTCAGCCTTGACCCTGCTTTCTTTGCGTTTACTTGTATGGAAAGGAGCTTAAGGGCTTCACACACAACTCCCTTCTGTCCACTGAGATACAGATATGGGAGCCATAATCAAAGACAGACGAGCACATATGAGGGCCTATCTTCCTGGCTGCATGAATGCAACTCAAGCTGCTTTCAGTTCTTCCTAGGATCACACCTTGGTTCAGCGTTGGTCATGCTCAGGCCTTGCCACCAGGTCTCCATTGCTGAAGAATCAAGGAGTACTTTCACAAGGAACAGTAAATTTAAATTACCTAGAAGGTCTGTCTTAGCCTATAATTCTCAGTTCTTCTCATACCTTCCTATTTATCCCCAGGATGCATTCTTCTTACACACAGGCCAGCACAAGTACCCAGCTGAGCCTGACTCTATTCTTAGATCATCGCACTGAAGTCCTGGGAAAGAATTGAGGAGCAACCAACACAGCTCTTTTATTAGAGAATGGAGTGTGTGGGGCTACTAATTCTTTAGGACCACCCCACACCAAGAGGAGCTCATTCAGACTTGTTTCACATGTTTCTTCACCCTCAGCCTGGTTCATCCTTTCCCTCTCTATCCACTGGGTCTTGGCACCCTCTTCCCTCCAAGTCACCATTGCAGCCCAACTTCTAGCAGAAGACAGTGGAGAGAAGCTGCTTCCCAAGGCTTCTGATGGGTTGGCAAGAGGCACTCTCCCCTTCCATCCCCTGAGAGATGCTTGGATACCCCTCAGGGTTTTATTCACTTTTACTCTCCAGTTTGAGAACCACTGGCCTCACACTTCAAATCCACATCACTGGCAGATGTTTCAGTTAGTCACACAGCACAGGAGACAAGCCTGCCTAGTGACAGTGGCTTCCAGCAGGGAGTTCACATGCTGTCCATGTAATGGGAAGGTGGTGAGGTTTTACTTGGTATTTCTTACAGTAGTGGCATGACACTGTTCATCCCTTTCAGCACTACCCCAGGCTCACACTGCTTCAGCCGTACATCTGTTGGGAAGTCCAGTCTTTCTAGACCCCACCTAGTTTTTGCTGGGGGACCAAGGCTCCTGCCTGTTAGACAGGTCTTGCAGTGAGTTTCATGCCTGCAGCCTGACAGTAACATTTCTCATATGACTCCTTTCCTCAAATGATCTGACAGAAGAGCAAAAAACCTAACCATGCAGCAGATGATAAACGGCACACTGAGGAGCGCCTGCCTGACTCCCAGAAGCTATTTATCAGGCTTTCTTAATGCAAGCTAACAGGGCTAGCACATGCAATTGGCATAAGAACTTCTGAGCCTGACACTAAAAGGGGAGACATCACATGGTGCAGCAGGGGAGCCAGGACTCCCTCGTTAGCTCATTGTATGGATTACCCCTTTAAAGAAAGAGAGTGAGACTGGTGGAGGAAGGGGAAGCTTTCTCATTTTAACAAATAGCTTTTCAGCCACCGCAAATGATTTCTGTAAATCTATCGGGTCACTCTTTTTTTTTTTCCCAGAGATGAAGAAAAAAAAAAAAAAAAGAAAAAAGCACCCTGGAATTGATTTACCATCTATAAATAAAAAAGAATCAATAGTAAAATTTCTAGCTAATTTCCCTCTCCTTCTTTCCCCCTTGGACGATTTGTTATCTTAGAAATACTTTTCTGGGAAAAAAAAGAGAAACATCATCAGTTCCAGACCCCGACACGCTCCTCCACCTCACCCCACAGACCAGCCCTCCTCTCCTCTCCTCTCATCGCGTGGCGAGAGACTGGTCCTTCAGACGTGCCTGGCTCCTCTTCTCTGGCTTGCCGCCAGCATGGCTGTTCCCTTGGCCCCGCTGGGGAGTACATTTAAAAAGAGGCAGTTTTTCCTTCCTGCCAAAGGAAAAGAGAGAGAGAGAGGACAGGTATTGTAAAACACTGTGGTGTTTCAGCAGCAGGTAGGACGTGTGTGGCGTGTGCTCTGAGGAGAAGCCATGTGTAAAGTCTCACAGTGAAGTGCATCTGTAAGGAAGGCTTTGGCAGCTCGAGACAAATTAGAGGTGGTTAAAGACCAGCTGGTGCCATCCTCCTCTGGCCAGAGCACAGTTAGTCCTTCCAGGAGACTTCAAGGGCTTTGCTCTAGCTCTGAGCTCTCCAAGAGAAGGGCCCCACTGCTTCCCTTTGGGTAATGCACTTACCACTGTTTTCTCCTCACCGCGGCTCCCACCTGCCTGAAATGTTTCGTTTCATTTCTGCTCATTAACAGCCCTCGTATCACTGTGAACATTTCCTTCGGGGGCATATACCGTTCACAGGACAGCTGGGTTCACGGGTCTGCTCACCACTGGATTGCCCCCACTGCCAGGGGTGTTCATAGCTGGGGCCAAATTCTTTCGTGACAGACTCCTGCTGTGTGGATATTTCACCGTGCCCGTTAACTCCAATTATCTAAGTTATGCAAAGCTTTAGTTGTCACTATAGTTTGGAGTGTGGCGTTTCCAGCGCACCTTTTGGGCTGCAGTCCTAGCAGAGCAGTGGGAGTTTAACTACTGGCCTCAAAAGCAGCAGAGTTATGCTAAATACAAAGTAATACTTCTACAGTGATGCCCCAGGAGTTCACAGGCTAAGAACTGAGATCCTCACAATTCAGCACCACAGAAACAGCTCCTCAGCTTCCTGCAGCTTGTCTGGGGGAACAGACCTACTTTGTAAGGCTTTGGTTCCTGATAAATCTCACTACTTGTTTCCCAGACAAAGTGCTGCTGGGTGTGTGTTTATGGTGTGCATGATGAATGTTTGCTACTTTAAGAAAAAGTAAACATCTATCCTTTGTTATCAGTTAATTCCATAACATTTCTGTTCTATTTACTTCTACAGCCTCTGCTCGGAGGCCTTAATTAAAATCCTGCACCTCACAGCCCAGTGCTCTCACTGCCTCTCCACCCTCTGGGTCGTGCCACACTTGTGTTTCACAGCAAGACAGGCACAAGTGACTGGACTGCCTCAGCCCTGGGCTGCTGGACAGAGCCAGGCCTCGGAAAAAGTTGGCACAACTCACTGTTGAACTTTGAGATCTCGCTTTGATGAGAGGCTGAATGACAAGGGGTGTGAGTCCTGCAGCACCATCCCTCACTCAGGGAGACTCAGCCAGCACTGGGCTGTCCCAGAGCAGGGATCTTCACCTACCAGCACTGGTGTGTTGCACTGGAACGGCAAAGGCGCCTCTGAGCCAAACGCTGGGACCAGGAGCCAGAGGAACCAGCTCTTGGCTGCCCGCTGGCAGCCAAGGCATCCCGACAACTTGTGGACTACCGGCAAAGAGTGGAGCTCCTCCGCACTCACCTCAAACGCTACCAGCTCTGACCAGCCATCTCCATCCCCTACATGTACCAAGCTCGAGCCCCATGTGCTGCAACTCCCACTTACCTTGGCAGAGCGTGAATTACCTTCCCTCCTCAAGCTGGCTGCACTGCGGCTGTAAAAGCAGATATACCTTTTGATGGCTTCTCTGTAAAAGCAGGAAAACCTGAGTATTGATCCCCATCCCGAGGAAGGAAATCAAACTGCGCTGTCAGCCCTGCTCACAGCAGCCAAGGGGCTCCAATGAGCTGTCGGGGTGTCCACTCAGCTCCTGTCCCCCCCCAGTACCCACCATGCCTTGCCAATTTTGTTCATTTACCTCCCCCTGTCACGGCAGAACAAATGAAGAGGGTCCTCTACTTGTGCCTGATCTATTCTTTAAGCACTCAGCCTGCTCCCTCTAATATTTGTTATGGCAGCTGGAGACCCATGCCAACCTGGTGTTGGTGCTGTACCACTCCATACTGAGACACAAACACTAGGAAGGGGAGGACCTGTCCATACACATAGCTATGTTACCAAAAGTGAAGTGACCTACTCAAGGCCATGCAGCAGACTGGGGGAGAACTGAAAGGAAAAGCGCTGAGCCAGAAACCCAGGTTTCTTGATCGCTCCCACCCTGACTCACCCCTGAGGAACTGGGCCCCTCTAAACCTGCCTGTCATAGCAACACAGAGAAACCTGCCTTCCCTACCACACAAGTGTGTGTTTGTCAGTGCTTCTGCTTTTATTTGCAGAAGGAGGTTTTAAAATACATTTGGAAAGAACTGAAATAATGTAGGAGCCAATGGGGCACAGGGCTTAGAGGGCTTTACGTCCACCAGCCCTCCCCTCCTCACTGCTGTCACAGCTGCCACCAGTTCAGCTTCTACTGCATCTCCACAGTTCAATCACCAACCTAAGGCACAGTGGTGTTTTGAAGAGATAAACACTGAGACAAAAATAAATAAATTAGGACCTGAGGAGGGAGACCTGAAAGGCACACTGAAGTGAGAACAAGCGGTTTCTCTGGTTCTGTGTATAATTACATTGACATGTTCCTAGACAACTCTGGAGACTCAAACACAGCACCAGCTGTGGACCAGAGAGTCACACAAAACATCGGAAAGCCAGTCAGTCCGTGCATCCCCTGCCCTGGGGCTGCATCAGCACTGCCCGTGTCACTGCTGACAGCTGCCTGCCCGCTCCTGGCGCTGGCGGGCAGGCAGGGCTCGGCTCCGGCCGCGCTGAGCCTCCTCTTCCCTACAGACACTGAGTTCTCCGCGCCCATGCGTCCAGTCCACTAGATCAGTGCTGCTGAACGTCATCCCCATTCTCCTCACTGCAAGTGCAGGAAATGATATAATATGAAACATGCAAAGAGGATAAAAATGGATCTTAAACCTCCATCCTTCTTCATGATCTGGGTAACACAGAAAAAGGAAATCCCCTCTAACCAACAACACTTGCAGGTGGGACTTTCAGACACTGGCCTTCTTTAGCAGTCACCCAGGCATCCACCAAACCGAAACATCGTGAGTATCAACCACTCTGTTCACATCAGGTACTTGTGACAAAGTGATATTTTTGGACATACAGCCAGTTGACAGTCATCAAATCACAACTCTGCTGCGTGCTTGTCGCACATACAACAGTTAATCTTGCAGCCACGCAAACCGTTTTGCAAATCGAAATCTCAGAGGCATAGCAATTACCATACCAAATTTATACCACATCTCTTAGTCAACTAATTGTACATCCAAAAAATCACCACTTGAATAATCTGAATACATTCACCTTTACAGCTAAAAAAACCCTACTACATGCTTGATCTCAACACAATTTTGAGTTACAGAACCCCATAGGAAAAAAATGCCAACCTCTGATTTCAACAGCCAAATTGCTTCTATATAAATACAGCAGATGCATATTTCACATTGAAGTCTACATCTTGGTGTTTCCAGTACTTTTTTTTACATTTTGCAAGATGGGGATAATTCCTATTGTTTCTTGTAGCTCGCTCAGCCTGTCTGCAGGAAGACAAGCCCTATACACATTTACTCCAAACACAGTGTACTTGTTCACATCTGAAACAACTGTATCTGGATTATTAAGTAGGAAACCTTAAACCTTAAATATCTTAAAATGCATCAGCAGACCTACAAACCAGGCTAATGTTTTAGATGAGCTGAGCTTTACAAAGCCACTGCCATAGGCACGCTTGTGCCGCTGTGGCATTTTGAGCTCTTTCACACACACGTTTCATGACTTTTGTTTCCATCTGGTGAAGCAAGTTGAGGTGGGGAGCAATAGATTTGAATTAGTGACACTGCAGCTGGTGTATTAAAGAGGACCAAAGTAGAAGAAAATTTGTGTTTAAATTGCAAAAGGAGGAGAAAATGAAGTTATCCAAGCCACGTGAGTGGGATCAAAAATGAATCATCAAGGCTGGAAAATAGGTAACCTCTGATCCCTGAAACCAAGAAATCTGGCTGCTGTCATGTAGCTGCTGATCTAATTTTTACACTTTCCCCTCCACACAGAAGAGATGCGTTTCGATTGCGTCCACTGCAGCTAAACAATCAATGCTTGATTACTTCAGAAGCTTCACTCTCAGGGATGCACAATTAACCAGGCCCATATTTGACACTGCAAGGGGAGCACAGTATTTTCTGGGAATGTCTGACAAGTTTCAAACATAAAAAACACAAATCAAATGGCCCAGCAGATAATGATAGCCAGTGCCCTGGCAGTTAGATAATGTGCGTGCTCCAAAGCAAGGCCAATTAGAAGCAATAAAAACAAATTTGAAATGTTAGAGCAAAGGTCTGAAATCCTCAGCCATTACCACAGGCTTAACTTTTTTTTTTTTCCCCAAGCAGTCACTAGTGCCTGTTTCCAGACAGTGAGCACAAATTCACACTTGCCAGATGACCACCCGCCTATTACAGCAGATTATGACTTCTGGGTCATACAAACCCACTGATGTGGTGTATGGAGGATCCCAGCACTATCTGGAAATCTCATCAGGTCCATACCCTGTGGCATTACCTTTCTGAATGCAGGGGCTGGTCCGTGCTGCTTATAGAGAAGGCATCATATTCGAGGCTGCTCCCCAGGAGAGTTTGCAAATGTCTCTCCCTCTGCCACAGAAGGCATCCTGCTACCTGTTGTCCATCTCTCAGTTCCTGCCCTCCTTCCCCAGCTCACTGCAGCACCGCATACCTGCTTCAGCACGGAGACGGTGCACAGAGGCAGGAATAATTAGCTTGTAACTGGAACATTACCACAGGAGAGAAGAAGTAGCTACAATTACAAGCAGTGCACATGGCTCAGACTCATCCATTGTTGTGTATCTTTTCTGACCCTGGAGCAGGAAGCTGCAAAGAGGATGAGAATAGGTTTGGTCTTGTCTTCTGTCCTCCTATTTCCTAAGGAGAAATAATGGGTTGCACTTACCTGATGAGATGTAGCAGAAAATTATGATCTCTTGAGTTTGTTCAAGTTAGCAATATGATACTGGGATTAACAAGCTCTGTACATCAGACATTACC